TCTGCTGCCCAATCTTTCTTTGGAGATTCATCCTCCTGTCCCTTGGTTTTCCTACCTGCTCTCTGGTAACCCATTTTTTTTGATTGCCTCAGAATGGAAAATTTACACAATTCTGTGTGTTAGATTTGTGGCGTGTTTGTCCAAGTTGTGGAGGGGGAATAGAGGAGGAACTGTAGACAGTGGCTATATGGGAGAGAGGTGGGGAGGGAGGAATATGGGGAGTGAGGCAGAGGGAGAAGCAAGGGGGAGAATGGGAGAGGGAGAGGGGCAAAGAGGGAGAGGTGGGGGGAAGTTGAATGAAAGAGAGAGGGGGGATCAGGGGAAGGAGTGAGAGATTGGTTGGGCAGGGGGGCTTGTGGGCTTGGGGGAGTGTATGTGTGAGTCTGTATATGTGAGAGAGAGAGAGAGAGAGAGTGTGTGTGTGTGTGTGTGTGTGTGTGTGTGTGTGTGTTTGTGGGTGTGGAACTATATGTGGGTTTTTTAAGTGTCTGAAAAGTAGGTGGAATTGAGCGTTGGAGTGTTAAGTAGAGTCTCAGTGTTCCCTTACCTGACCATACCCTCCTGCGACCTGACCCCCACCCTCCTGCTACCTGAACCACGCCTACTTACAATACTGCCCTCTGTGCTTTTACTACCACTTAGGCTTATAGAAACCTGTCTCGCCTTGTTCCATAAATTACCAATTGCTATTCCTTATTGAGTACTTGATTGCCTATTCTTTATCGTACTAGGAGAGTTGGACCATTCACAGTCAGCTTGGCGGTTAATTGGAACCCAAAACCCACACCCAAACAACCACGCATAGGTGAATAGAGTACTTGCAATGCAGCTGTAGCAGCCTGTAGATTGTCCAGCTCGATGTGACGTCCTGGCATAGATCCACGTCCGTTTTTTCTCGTTATATAATGTACCCTATTCACTGTATTTCTTTCACTGGTCACACATTTGTTTCACTGTATTAACTTTCTTGGGTGACACATGGCAACGTTGCCTAGAGCGCACTAGCCTGCCCACTCTGAATGTGCCACCATGTATCACTTTCTAGATCACTTATAAAATTGTGGCTTTAACCACACTTATGTGGCTCAAGCAGATTGTAAATCGCTTTAAGGATTGTTCACTTCCTTGACACACTTAGCAACCCTTGCAGTAAACTTGGGTAGCCCTCAAAAATACTTATATTCGTGGAGCACGGATGGCGTGACTCGTGCACGCTGTGTCCCTGTGTGTGTGTTGTCCCGCCTCTTCACTGGTTGCTACCACGTCACCCCTCCCTGCTCCATGAGGTTTATCATACATCTTAAAGCTGTGTATGGATCCTGCCTCCACTACTTCACTTTTCAGTCTATTCCACTTCCTGGTATTTCTGTGACTGAGGAACTTTCCATCATCCCTGTGACTCATCTGATTTTTCAACTATCATTAGTGACCCCTTGTTGTTGTGTCCAATCTCTGGAACATCCTGTCTCTATCCACCTTGTCGACTCCTCTCAGTATTTTATAAGTCGATATCATATCCCCTCTACCTCTCCTGTCCTTCAGTGTAGTCAGATCTACTTCCTTTAAGTGCAAACCTTTGCACTTTCTCTAATTTCCTGATGTACTTGTGTTTGTGTGGGTTCCAAAATGGTGCTGCATACTCCAATGTGGGCTTGACATTCACGGTGTACAGAGACCTGAACGATTCCTACTAGAAGTCGCATTGCTGTTCTTAGGTTTGTTAGGCGCACATATGCTGCAGCAGTTATTTAGTTGAAGTGTGCCTCATATGTGCTTTGTATTATACGCACCCCATGATACTTTTCTTTAAGTGAGGTTCATAGTCTTTGCTCTCCTAGACTGTACTCTGTGGTCTTCTTTGCCCTTCCCCAGTCTTCATGCCTTTGCACTTAGTGGGGTTAAGCTCCAGGAGCCAGTTGCTGGACCAGGTCTTCAGCCTCTCCAGATACCATTGTAGACCTGCCTGGTCTTCCTCCAACTGAATTCTCCTCATCGTCTGCAAACAGGAACACCTCTGAGTCTATTCTTTCCATGTCATTCACATATACAAGAAACAGCACCAGTCGTAGGACTGACCCCTGTGGAATCCCGCTCATCACAGGCGCCCACTCTGATACCTAGAAAAGTACCATTACTCTGTGATGTCTTTACGTCAGGTGTTCTCTCATCCATTGCAGTGCCTTCCCTGTTATCCCTGCCTGGTCCTCCAGCTTTTGCACTAATCTCTTGTGTAGAACTGTGTGAAAAGCCTTCTTTCAGTTCAAGAAAATGCAGTCTACTTCCCCCCCTCTCTCTCTCTTGTCCTACTGCCTGTCACCTTGTCATAGACCTCCAGTAGGTGTGTGACATAGGATTTCCCATCCCAGAACCTGTGATGGTTGTTGTTAAAATGCTCATTCCTTTCTAGGTGCTCCACCACTCTTCTGATAATCTTCTCCATGACTTTGCATACTGTACATGTCAGTGACACTGGACTGTCTCTTTTTTTTTTTTTTAAATGGGACTATATTTGCTATCTTCCATACCTGAGGTAGTCATGCTGTTTCGATACACGTTTTGAGGATTGTTGTTAGTGGCACGCAGAGCGCCTCTGCTCCTTCTTTCAGGACCCATGGAGAGATAATTTCCTGTTCCATCGCCTCTGAAGTATCTAGCTCGCTTAGCAGCCTCTTCACCTCCTCATCGGTTGTATGTATTCTGTCCAGCACTGAATGGCGTAACCCACCTCGCTGTCTTTCAGGAGTACCTTCTGTCTCCTCTGTGAATACTTTTATGAATCTCATGTTAAGCTCCTCACATACTTCTCTGTCGTTTCTTGTGATCTTTCCACCTTCCTTAGTCAGTCATTGACTGTTGTTTTCCTCCTGATTTGACTGTAAAGGAGCTCCAGGTCAGACTTGGCTATCGCTGCTTTGTCATTTTCATATGGGTTTTTGGCCTCCCTCCTTACCTGACCATATTCATTTCTGGCTCTTAGACTGCTCTCTTTATTTTTCAGCGCCCTTTGCTTTCTGCACTTCTACAGTTCTCCAGCACACTTGGTTTTGGCCTCCTTACGCCTTTGGGTGAACCAAGGGCTCGTTCTGGTCTTTCCATTGTTTCTGTTGCCCTTGTGTACGAACCTCTCCTTTGCCTCCATGTATTTTGTTGCCACATATTACATCATTTCATTTACTGATTCTTCCTCCAGTTCTCTTTCCCATTAAGCCTACTTGTCCTGCTTCCCTGTCCACTTGAAACTATGTGTATAGGAAGACTGAAGTTGTCTGCTAGGAAAACTAGGAATGTCTTCTAGGAAGACTAAAGTTGTCTAATAGGAAGGCTGAAGCTGTCTGCTAGGAAGATTATGTCTGCTAGGAAGACTGGGGCTGTCTGCTAGAAAGAATGAAGCTGTATGTTAGGAAGACTGATGCTGTCTTCTAGGAAGGCTGAAGCTGTCTTCTAGGAATGCTAAAGCTGTCTGCTAGGAAGATTAAAACTGTCTGCTAGGAAGACTGATGCTGTCTGCTAGAAAGAATGAAGCTGTCTTCTACGGAGACAGAAGCTGTCTGCTAGAAAGACAGAAGCTGTCTGTTAGGAAGACTGAAGCTGTCTGCTAGGAAGACTGAAGCTGTTGTGGAAGACTATTACCAGGTTGCATATCGAATCGCTCAAGTAAAAAGAATCTCAGAATATGTGAGATTCTCATAAAGTCCTGTGCTAGTGACATGTTATCAGTCATGAGTGGTTTGATTGTTCCAAAAAACTGATGATGGTATCAGTGTCGAATGATACAATGATACATCACGCCAAAGCTTTTTGAAATTATGTGAGAAAGTCAGGTGCAAAACGAGATCACCCAAAGTATATTCAAACTTAGACTGCAACTGGTTGATTCAGGAATGAAGACCAGATGAACCATTTCATTTTGTTTTACTTTCGCAGAGGATCACTTGAAAACATTTCAGATCATAAAATTCTGAGATCTATGCTTAGTGTTCTTTTTTATACACATATCAGTTATTCAAATAAATAACTACATGTGTACAACAAAGAACAATCTAAAATTAAAGTATAGATATGACTGTTAGAAAAATCGGAATCACTTGAGGATGTACTATACATGAAGGGTCATGAATAAGTGGAGGCAAGGAAAATACTCCAGGTTAATGGGCATATGAAGGTTGGAAAAACATGAGTGAGACTTAATACTAACATAAACAAATTACTATTCAGAGTCAGACGTTTCCTACTAAAGAAAATGGACTTTCCAACTGCGTCAGAGATGACGAGAATGAAATTGGAGGAAGGATAGCTGGGAGGCAAGGAGGGAGGTGGGTAGCAACGATGGAGGGTATTAATGTGGGGTGGGAGGAGAGGAAGAATGGAGTGAGGGAATGAGGGAGGGAGAGGCTAAGGCTAGAGGGAGGAAAGGAGGGAGGCAGGTTACCTGGAGGTTACCTGGAGGTTATTCCGGGGATCAACGCCCCCGCGGCCCGGTCCATGACCAGGCCTCCCGATGGATCAGGGCCTGATCAACTAGGCTGTTACTGCTGGCCGCACGCAGTCCAACGTACAAGCCACAGCCCGGCTGATCCGGCACTGACTTTAGGTATCTGTCCAGCTCTCTCTTGAAGGCAGCTAGGGGTTTATTGGCAATTCCCCTAATGCTTGATGGTAGGCTGTTGAACAGTTTTGGGCCCCGGACACTTATGGTGCTTTCTCTTAGTGTACCAATGGCGCCCCTACTTTTTATTGGGGTCATTTTGCATCGCCTGCCCAGTCTTTTACTTTCGTAGGGAGTGATTTCTGTGTGCAGATTTGGGACCATTCCTTCCAAGATTTTCCAAGTGTAGATTATGATATATTTCTCCCTCCTGCGTTCCAACGAGTACAAGTCAAGTGCTTCCAAGCGTTGGAGAGGAGAATAACAGAGCCATTGTGCGATACACAAATATGTTTACATTGCAGGCTGGGATTCACGTCCATGAGATGCTGGGGAAGACCAGAGAAGGTTGAGACAGCCACTCAGGCAGCGGGTGTATATAAGGTCACTATGTGCACCACCAACACATTACAGCTGAACTACCCTGTGTCGTACACGGTAAGCTGACCTACCACTGTCACATACACAGTAAACTGTGTTACCACTGTCTTACACACAGAACGCAGAGGTACCACTGTCTCATACACAGTAAGCTGACCTACCACTGTCACACACACAGTAAGCTGACCTACCACTGTCACACACACAGTAAGCTGAGGTACCACATTAGCACACACGGTAAGCTGACCAACCACTGTCACACACACAGTAAGCTGAGGTACCACTCTAACACACACTGTAAGCTGACCTACCACTGATACATGCACAGTAAGCTGAAGTACCACTGTACACACGTAGTAAGCTGAGGCATCATTGTCAAATGCAGTAAGCTGAGGTACCATTGTTACACACACGGTAAGCTGAGGTACCACTGTCAGACACACTGTAATCTGAGGTACCACTGTCACACACGCAGTAAGCTGAGGTACCAGTGTCACACACACAGTAAGCTGAGGTACCATTGTCACACACACAGTAAGCTGAGGTACCATTGTCTCACACACAGTAAGCTGAGGCACCATTGTTACACACACAGTAAGCTGAGGTACCACTGTCACACACGCAGTAAGCTGAGGAACCATTATCATACACACAGTAAGCTGAGGTACCATTGTCAGACGTGCAGTAAGCTGAGGTACCGTTGTCACACACACAGTAAGCTGAGGAACCACTGTCACACACGCAGTAAGCTGAGGTACCATTGTCACACACACAGCAAGCTGAGGTACCATTGTCACACACGCATTAAGCTGAGGTACCATTGTCACACACATAGTATGCTGAGGTACCATTGTCACACACGAACAAAGCTGAGGTACCACTGTCTCACAGACAGTTAGTTGAACCTCCAATGTCTCAGCTGAAAAAATCCTGTCTCTTTCACACACGACGGCTGAACTACCAGAGTTTCAAGCACAGTAAGCAGAACTGCCAAGGAAATACTCTCACAGTTAGCTGAACTACCCATGTCTCACACAATAAGCTGAACTACCCATGTCTCACACAATAAGCTGAACTACCCATGTCTCACACAATAAGCTGAACTACCCATGTCTCACACAATAAGCTGAACTACCCATGTCTCACACAATAAGCTGAACTACCCATGTCTCACACAATAAGCTGAACTACCCATGTCTCACACAATAAGCTGAACTACCCATGTCTCACACAATAAGCTGAACTACCCATGTCTCACATACAGAAAGTTGAACTATCTCAGTCACACACAGTAAACTGAACTATTGCAGTGCTCACAGTGACTAGAACTACCATGTCCCATTTCGCACACAGTATGTGGAACTACCCTTTGTTTTACATGAAGTAAGTTAAGCTGAACCTATCTCACAAATTAATTTGAACTTTCCCTGTCTTACCAACAGTTGAAATAACCCTGTGTCTCACTCAGCTGAACTACCCCTAATCTCACACAGTAAAACTTCCCTTGTCTCACCCACAGCTAAACTACCCTTGTCTCACATAGAGCTAAATTACCGTTGTATCACACAGCTGAACTACCCCTCTATCACACACAGCTAAAGTACCCGTCTCACACACACAGAGCTTAACTATGCCTGTCCCAAACACAGCTGAACTACCCCTGTCTAACGTTGAACTACCCCTGCCTCACGCACAGCTAAACTACTCATGTCTCACACACGTTGAACTACCCCTGTTTCACTCAGGTGTTGTTTACCTGTTTCGCACAGGTAAACTACACCTGACTCACACTCAGCTGAACTACCCCTGTCTTACACACAACTAAACTACCCCCTGTCTCACACACACACAGCTAAACTACTTTTGTCTCACACACAGCTAATGTACCCCTGTCTCACACACGTTGAACTACCCCTGTCTCACTAACAGCTAAACTACCCCTGTCTCACTCACAGCTAAACTACCCCTGTCTCACAACAGCTGAACTACCCCTGTCTCACACACACAGCTAAATTACCCTTGTCTCTGTGTGATGAATGGTTTGAAAAACCGACAAGTTGAAGATTGAGACACTTATGCAGCATATGGGAATCTTTATTCAGGAAACGTTTCGCCACACAGTGGCTTCATCAGTCCGATACAAAGTAGAAAGGCGTAAGGAGAGGAGGAGTTTGAGGTAATCAGTCCCTCAGCCTGGAGTCGATGTGTTCAGTCCATCAATCTTGTAGAATGTACAGCATAGGGCCTGCTTCACCTCACCTCACTACAGTATATAAGCCACGTCTACGGCCCTATGCTGTACATTCTACAAGATTGATGGACTGAACACATCGACTCCAGGCTGAGGGACTGATTACCTCAAACTCCTCCTCTCCTTACGCCTTTCTACTTTGTATCGGACTGTTGAAGCCACTGTGTGGCGAAACGTTTCCTGAATAAAGATTCCCATATGCTGCATAAGTGTCTCAATCTTCAACTTGTCGGTTTTTCAAACCATTCATCACAACTGTCAGACACTGCAGCATCATGGGATCTTGTTACAGAGAATTCTTCAACACTTGTTCAACCTTTGGACGAAGACCTACTTCGACTAGTGGATGGTACCACTATGACCCCGCCTCCGCCTGCTTCACCTCACCTCACTACAGTATATAAGCCACGTCTACGGCCCTATGCTGTATATTCTACAAAATTGATGGACTGAACACATCGACTCCAGGCTGAGGGACTGATTACCTCAAACTCCTCCTCTCCTTACGCCTTTCTACTTTGTATCGGACTGATGAAGCTACCCTTGTCTCACACACAGCTGATGTACCCCTGTCTCACACGTTGAACTACCCCGGTCCCACTCACAGCTAAACTACCCCTGTCTCACTCACAGCTAAACTACCCCTGTCTCGCACACAGCTGCACTACCCCTGTCTCACATACAGCTAAACTAACCCTGCCTCACACACAGCTAAACTACCCCTGTCTCACACACAGTTGAGCTACCCTTGTTTCGCACACACAGCTAAACTGCGCCTGTCTCACAGACATCTACACTACCCCTGTCTCACACTCAGTTGAACTACGCCTGTCTCACACACAGAGCTAAACTTCGCCTATCTCACACACAGTAGAATTACTCCTGCCTCACACAGTTGAACTACCCGTGTCTCACACTCATCTGAGCTATTCCTGTCTCACACACGTTGAACTACCCCTGTGTCGCACCCAGCTAAATTACCCCTGTCTCTCCCACAGTTAAACTACCCCTGTCTCACACACGTTGAACTATTCCTGTCTCGCACACAGTAAGGTGAAATGCAACTGTCTCACTCACAGTTGAAATGGAACTGTCTCACACAGTTGAATTACAACTGTCTCGAACACATTAAGTTGAAGTACACCTGTCTCACTCAAAACATTAGGAGGTACACTGCAGTAGTCCTAGTAGAACATACTAGGAAAAGCTTTCTCAAGCCCAGTAGTCCTACTATCACAAACTAGGAAGAGCGTTCTGGATCCCAAATCCTGAAACTAAAATATTTTCTCAACCCATTTTCAGTGATCTCTGAGGAATAAGCTTTGATTACCCTGTTAATTCCTGTGCAAGCCCTTTCAAAGTCTTCCCATCTCATTCATGTATTTATCTATCCTATAACTGAAGCTACTCAAGATTTCAGCTTAAATGACACTACTAGGTAGACTGTTCCATTCATAGACTACTCCATTTCCAAACCAATACTTCCTTGTATTATTTCTAAATCTAAACTTATCCAATTTGACTACATTATTTCGAGTTCTTTCTTGGAGGGATATACTTCACACTTTATTTATATCACATTTATTTATGCCCATCTTCCACTTATATACTTCAGTCAAGTCTCTCTTCATTCTTCGTCTTACAAGAGTTTTCTTTTAGTTCGTTGTCTTTATTATGCAGCTTATACCTATCGTGTGGGTGGTAGTCAAAAGGATTACAGTGGAACATAATGAGTGGATGAACTTGTTAGATAAGAACTTCTTTCATATGACAGTAAGAATACGTAACAATAGAAACGCATTTATCTTTAAACAGCTCGAATTCCATTAACTCTACCTGAAATCGTCCTCGTTTTTTGCTGCTGCTGTCGTGTCCACAGTAGCTGAGGATAATGAGTAACATTTTGTATCTTGATCTTATCAATTTTATCTGGAATATGAAAGGTGGGAATTATTCATACTAACATTGTCCTAAACACTGCAGCCCTTTAAGGGGCAAATAAAAAGGAAATAAGACTTGCCTGACACATTGTAACTAGAGTCCTGTATCGTTGGAGTGACATGAGGCCGTTATCGATGTCATGATCGAAGAATGTTGAACGTAGTCACTTGGGGTCGTTGCGCCTTAGTGTTCTTTCGCTCGTAACATTAGGTTCCTCACCATCACTCAATACCATCACTTGTTCATGAGTTTCGAGGAATTATCCACATTAAAGAGAATGTTGTAACACTTTTTTCTTCAGTTTTCAAAGAGTTTACACTCGAGAAAGGGACACAGACATAACAATAAACACTACAGACACTCTTATTAGTTCTACCGCGAATTTCCTGATTCGTATAAGGGAAAACTAGTCAACTTTCCTAGTTTTCGTGAGATTGTCGGATGAGAGTTTATGAACGCACAGCTACTGTATCTTTGTTCAGCGGGAGGAACTACGCACTTGCGATGTTACTGGGGACACGCATTGCCATTCGATCCTTGTAACAATCTGACGCTCTTCAGCGCCACAGGTCCACGCCCCACAGGGGATATGTATGCTGGCTTAATCTTCATAAACATTTATTGTTCGCTTTTGCAAGAGAACTCATTCTAGAATCCCTGTTTCTTGGTATTCTAGGTGGGTTTAATAAGCCGTAATATCCCTAGCTTGTTTATCAAGTAGGAGGCAATTTCTTACGCATTTTAAATACTATGGGGAAATAGTAGTTTCCATAGGTTTCCACTGGTATATACTAGTAGCCATACATTCTGGTAAACAGAGGTGTCTTTTGTGATGTCTTACCCAGCATATTCTGATAACTCTGTT